AGGGAGGGGGAGAAAGAGGGAGGGAGAGAGAGAAGAGGGAGGAAGAGAGAGGGGAGGGAGGGAGGGTGGGGAGGGAGAGAGGGGAGGGCAGAGGGAGAGAGGGAGAGAAGGGCCACATGCATTGGAAACAGCAATTTCAGATCTGACTTGAAGTGTCAGTGGGGAAGTAAAAATTATATCACCAGTTATTAAAGGATCATTTATTCCTCGTGTAAAAACAGCTCATTTTCATTTTATAATCACTGTAAATTTTTAAATAAAACTATCAAAGTGCTTAATGTTTTATTGACAGGATAAAGTAATGACTTATGTCCTTGGAACGCAGAAATGTAGATTTGTACTTTGGTCTATTAGTGGTGTCCTGGTGCTAAGCTAACAATAATCAGATTAAATTACTTGAAACCAGATGACTAATGGCATAAATAAGGAGCCAGTAAATTGTGCTAGACAGTTTACTAGAGCAACTCAAAAGTCAGAATTTCACATTTTTCCTAACAAGCAAGTCATTTTCAGTTGTGCAGTGAAAACATGTCATAGCCAGGAAATGAGGAAATTTGAATAAAGACACCAGTTCTCGCATTATCTCTTCCTGTGTCCCCTAGAGCACACAATGAGTCCATGGCATGCTCATTCTTCCGTAGGGTGGAAATTAAAAACAAATATGTTGGCCCTGTCATTTTGTTGAGGAGCACAGAAAAGCAAGAAGCATAAGGCCCGTCAGATGGGTTCTCAGTTACAGCAACCACACTTAAGTGGTTCAAGATTCCCATCTTCCTAGAATGTGCAGTTTGTTTTATGCTAAACCTTCATTTGATATTGTGAGCAATGAAAATGTCTTCATTTGTCCAAAATCAGGGATAAGGACAACATGGCATAGCTTTACCCACTGGTGCTCATCAACACAGAATGCAACAGAATCAAAATATAAGGAACTTTTCAGGTGATTCACACAAGCCTGTACATAGAGCTCATACATAGATTCTGTGTAAACCAAAGCCAGTTCTAGAGGTTTAAGAACATCAACCTCACTAGCGTTACCTCACATGGTGCAGCACTTAGCTTGTTTCTTTATTTCTAGACAAATAGCTTTAGGATTATAAGATTATGGTAAGGTGTTCTGAAACTCAAAAGTTTACATAAATTTGAAGAAAATCTCGTGTTTTACCATTAAAATAGTCTGTGAAACCATAAAGAAGGTGGTTACGATTGGAAGCAGAAAGCATCAAAGAGCAGAGGCTGAGGAGGTGGAGGATGGAGGGACGTAGAGGAAACAGATGTGGTCAGGACAGTCTGTAAGATGAGACCCGAGGGGCTGGAGCAGCAACAGAAGCAGAAAGCATCAAAGAGCAGAGGCTGAGGAGGTGGAGGATGGAGGGACGTAGAGGAAACGGATGTGGTCAGGACAGTCTGTAAGATGAGACCCGAGGGGCTGGAGCAGCAACAAAGCAGGGAAGCTGGGGCGGAAGGGGACCCCGGAAGATAAACAGACAGTAGCACCAAGGATCATTTCATTGAGACTACCTCTTCGTGACAAACAGTTAAGGGTAATACGTGAATCTTCCTTACCCATTAGTGTTCTGAATGCATTTTGACTGGCTTTTGGTTGAAGACGTGACATCTCAGTTATTTCAAGAACTTAAAGATATAAGAACTTGGGAAGCTAAAAATAGGGTGAAAATTCTTAAAGACCACAGAAGAGTGTTAAAATAGGGATCTGGAACCCACTAAGAAAATGGTGATTTTATAGAAGTATACCACAAATTTAGCTAGCATATGTTTACTTACAGGAATGTTGATGAACACTGAATCAAATTCTGCTGCTGTCAGGAATCTTTTTAGTGGTGCCATGAAATACTACCAGGAAAGAAGAGAGAAGTAACAATTAAGCATAACTTGTCCTAAACTATACAATAGTTTTTCATCAAACAACCAATATTTATTGAAAGTCAATTGGTTATCAGCATTATGAATACCAAAAAAAGTAGAAACTTTTTATATCAAAGATTTCAAGAACAGAGATATAAAGACATAATACAAGTTAATATATTTAAAGTATAAAATGAAACATTTAGACAATAAATGATTCTGAAAGTAAGAAAGAAGAGAATACCACCAGCTGAGACAGCAAATAATGACTACATTTTGGAGACATATTGGAGGACTTATATAAAACATCCCCCAAATGTTTTGCAGAGATCACAGACCCCTGAGATCAATAATCTTTTCATGCAATTTATAGATCATTCACTTTCATTCCTTGAGAATTTGAGTCCTGGCCTACCATATCTCTTTCATTCTTGGCAATCTCAGTATCTGTGCAGATGATCCTTCCAACAGGGTGGCCTCTCAGTTCTTTTACCTCCAATAAATTATTCCTGTGCTCTACCCTAGCTCAGCTCCCAAATCTGGCGGTCATACCGCGAGTCCTTGTCATTATCAACAACTGCCTATGCCCCACAGCACTCAACGGTAATGGGTCTGCCAATCCCCTGACCATCCACATCCCTCATGTCCTTCCTTCCTTCCTTACCCAGTTTACACTCCATCAGCCATCATCAGAATCATTTCCCTGCATATACCCTTCCATTGTACTTTTCTAGAAAAATGAAAACACTGGTTTAAATCTAGCTTGCCACATATTTTGTGCCTGTAGCTGAGAAGTTAACATGGATTATATCAATAATCTAATTTCTAATATGACCATAAAACTCAACTGGGCCTGCATACTACATAATCCTACTACCTTTCCCTAGTCAATTTACTCTCCTACTCTCTTAAACAACTTTTCCACACTTTTATCTCTTTTCCTAAACTTCCAAAACTTCCACCTGGTTCTCATTTTCCTAACCTCTAAATGTGGAGTCACCAGAGGTGGCCTCAGACCTCTTCCCCAACCACACGTATTCCCTGGGGTGAGTTCATTTTAGTCCCATGGCCTTAAGTGTCATCGTACAATAATGGTCCAATCTATATGTCAATTCAACCTTTCCCATTAATGCCAGACTCACATCAAACACCCTCCTAAATGTATCTTCTTGGAAGTGTAAAGGTATCACGAATTTAATACAACCCAACAGACTCATGATTCCCAAGCCCGTCCCTCACCATCTCAGTGACCATCTTCACCATTCACGCCATTGCTCATGCCAAAACCTAGCAGTCATTCTCGATTCCTCTCTCTCTCTCTCTCATCCTTTACCTAATCCACTATCAAATCCAGTTGACTCTACTTTTAACATTTATTCAAAATCTGACCACCTCCTATCACCTTCACCCATACCTTCACCAATCTCTGTCATCTTAATTACTACAATATCTTTCTAATTTTTCTCCAAGTTTCCACCCTTGCCTCACAAGAGCCAGAATGAGACATTAAAGACTTACATCATATTATGTCACTTCTGCTCAAAATGCTCTAGCTCCCCAATGTCCCCACATGACCCGGTAGCTCACCAGGTCTCTGACCTCCTCACGCATTCCCCTTCAGTCATTCTGTTCCAGCCGCACTAGATAATTCCTTTTCCTCAGGAATTATCTTCACTGGGATATTTGTATGGCTAGCACCCTCAATTTACTCAGCTTCTGCTTAAATATGATCTTAGCATAGAAACCTTCTGATACCACTCAATATAAAATACCACCAGCCTTCCCCCATCACTCTCTATCCCTTTCCCTGCTTTATTCTTCTTCAGAGAACATATCACCACCTGGCATACTTATTTGCTTACATTTTAACCCCTCCCATGAAAAAGAAAGTGCCATGAGAACCAGAGTTTAGTTGTGTTTACTGCTATATCCTCGTCCCTAAAACAGTGCCATTCAGGTACTAAGAAATCAATAAATAGTTATGGAATTAAGAAATCTGCTTTGAGATCTTTAACTACAAAGTTCTACTGAAAATCAGAATACACACATACAAACAAATTCAGCAGAAACAGTGAGTCTGATATGTTAACTATATATAGCAGCATTTGGGCATCAAGAATAGTACTTACTTTTTCTATTGACTCCAAAGTTTCTGTATATTTTTCTTCTGTCTGCCTAATTTCTGCTAGACAACAACTTCGTATGTCATTTTCTGGACATTTCTGTAGTTAGAATTATAAAAATAAAATTATTTAATCAAATTCGTATATTGATCTATCTGGTAGAAGACAAAAAGAGATCAAAATAATTGCTGTTTTTCTAAATCTTTCCATTCTAATAAAACACATAACTGAAAAACGTATTTATTTATGAAGTATCTTTGCTGTTTTTTTAAGTTTAAAAAACATAAATAAAGAAGTTTTAGGTGATTAAATTCGTATATTGATCTATCTGGTAGAAGACAAAAAGAGATCAAAATAATTGCTGTTTTTCTTAATCTTTCCATTCTAATAAAACACATAACTGAAAAACATATTTATTTATGAAGTATCTTTGCTGTTTTTTTAAGTTTAAAAAACATAAATAAAGAAGTTTTAGGTGATTAAAAATAAGCTTCTGAATATAGACACTCTCCTTAAAATAAAACATTTCTTTTATTAAAAATATTAATGGATCTGGAAACAACACAAATGGTGTAAGACAGTTTCCTTAATATACAGCATACTTCACAAGTGCTATAGAAATAACTGTAAAAATAATAAAAGGATATTTAGTAAGTAAAAACCTTCAAATATTTTTCAGAAATTGACATCTCAGCGTTTGGCTCTTAATACTACGTGTTTAAGATTAGAGATGGTAAAGCATGGTGCTAAGATCAAAGATTCTGTGATACCATGGAACTGGGTTCAAGTACCAGTTTTGCTGTTATTAACTTTATAAAAAATGAACAAGTTGCTAAATTTCTCTGACTCTGTTTTCTCATCTGTAAAATAGAGAGAATTACACTACCAACCCCAAGGAGCTGTAAATGAAACAAACTACGTAAAGCACTTAGCACCTTGCTGGATACACAAGTAGGGCCCTATACATCTAGATTAGTATTACTGTTAATCTTGTTCCACATAAACAGCGCTGTTAGATGAGTGAAGATTGTCTTTAGGGGAGGCACTGGAGAATCTGCTGGCACCAAAAGCAGTTGACAATTATAGGAGGTACAGATGATATTCTGTCACCTGAAAATGCTCTCACGATGGCCTGTCAGCTCATGCAGTGGGTTACAGCACGTATTCATTCATTACGTTTACCAAACATTGTCCAGGTAACTTGCTTCCATCCCACAGAAGCTACTGCTCCCCCTCTGAGGCACTCGACAACCCGCCAGCCTTTTATTAAAGGCATGAGCACAAGGAGAACTAAACAAATGCATCAAAGTACTGAAAAACCCTAAATCACCATCCACCTGATGAAGAAAGTCTTTAGTTAAAATGAAGACTATATTAATAAACAACTAATAAGCAACTGACTTTTTTTGTTTCAAATTACAGATGAGAAAATAATTCAAAGTAATTCTTTCTGAATGTTCTAGTTATATTAACAGCAGATAGAGTGTTGAGGACTCATATCAGCTATGACAATATCCAAAACTAAGTTTATGAAATAGT